AATTTGTTTATATTAATTACAATATTTTGTTAGAAATATTTCGAATGATGAATAAAACTTTATGTTATATCTTTTTAATAATAAGATTAAGTATTATATTAATTATTAGTATTTTAATAATTCAGGAGAACATAAACCAAAAATAAAGTTGATTCCTTGTTATCGTCCTACATTATATTTAGAATGTTATTTTCTTTAAATTTGAAAAGTTATATATTACAAATTACAAAGTCATGCAACATAACGAAGAAGCGAATGCTGTTTGCGCAAAATTAAAATTCCAATTAAATTTATAAAAATGTAATAAATTGTACAACAATCTTGTCCGAGTGCATTTTTATACTTAATTTTTATAATACATTACATTGATTCTTTGCATCATTGATTCATCGTTTTACATGTTTTATGTCTCAAAGGTTCACAAAACAAGTATAAAATTTCAGCGTGAATCGCAATATGGAAATGTCAATTAAAAAATTTGCATGCCAAAAAATGGAATCGTTTGATGACAAGAAAGTTATTCTGTATTTTCTATAAGATTAATAATAGATAGTTAATTGCATTAGATATGCAATTAAAAAAATGTGTTCTTATCATTATCTGTAATTTAACCATAATATTATTAATGACAGATATAAGATTATGTGGATATGAAGTAATACATATTACAAAGATGTGAATGCATAAAATGCGAGAAAGCAAGCATGTTTCAAATAATTGTCCCGATTGGCTATATAACAAAGTTATGCCAGTATACGTAGTAGCTCTAAATGGCCTATTACATTTATTACATATAATTATTTTATTATAGATAGTATGTACGAATAATAGCCGTACTTTTACACTTGGTTGTATCGACTATTTATTTTGGAAGCATAAATGTGATTTTATTAGAATTATAAGAGATGTCTGCGGATGTGTTATCAAATTATATTATCAGATTAGAATTGGATAAAAGTAACATAAGATACGATGTAAAATCATTTCCTTTATTAAAGATTTTTTAAAATCATATGGCTTTTTATTAATGATTTTTATGTTAATGGATAAGAATTTATGTTTTATAACTCTATAATTAAATATATATACTAAAAATGTAACAAAAGTAACTTTAACATTATTTTACATTAAAATTATAATATTTATGTTTATTTTTAATATTTATATTTATTTTTATATTCTTCTACACACACACACACACACACACACACACACACACACACACACAATGTAAAATACTGAAAATACATTTAATAAAAACTGCAATGGATGATCATAATATATTACTCTATAGTTTAACAGAATAATTAAAAATCAAGAAAATAATATATGTGATCTACAAAATATACATACTATCTATGTAATCTCATAAAAAAAAAAAAAAAAAAAAAAACTTAAATTTTTCAAAGAAAAATTTTCAGAAAATCATTACATACAGCTTTCTCAGGCCAAATGTAATCACGAACTATCCGAAGATCCAAGTCTCATTTGTGAAACATTTGAAATTGCGAAGATAATTCAAAGCAATTCAAAGGAAATTTACAAAAACAACGTAAAGACCGGCCGAGAGACCTTATCGACGAATTTCAAATTTCTCAACGTTCGCCAGCAGATGGCGATTACACATGGCGTCAGTAGAATGATAAACAACGTCGCGGCCTTCAAATCCGTGTCCAATCGTCGGTGACCTCCAAGACTTTTCAAATTTGAACGTAAAATCGATTGACTGTTATTGTTTAAAATCTGAGTGGAAATGTGGGTTATGTGTGATCACGTCTGAGCAAATTCGCAAAGTTTACGCGATTGTGAAACGATGAAGGACTGCTGATACAAGTGATAGATCCGTTCTTCGAATTGTTCGTTGGACCATCGTTACGATCGAAACAAAGGATCTATACGATGTTTACTCCTATCAAACCTAAGAGTTCCGGCGTGTTAAATGACACGGTGTTGAGCACTCCACTGCCGCAGGCGACGTCCACTGTTCGCAGAAAAGCCATGTATGTTATCTCAGGCATTCTCTGAAAAAGTCCTTCATCTCCGCGAATCAAGGCGTTTCGTTAAAGGTCCCTTCCCTTTTGCGCATCAATCATTCGAACTAACTGTCGTTTTGCTATTCCTTTGATTCTTCATCAAATACTCATTATGTAGAGAATCACATGAATTATAATTGATTTTAGGTAACAGCTTTTGCTTTCCATTTTTACATAAGTGACATTGAAATTAAATTTATGTATTTTTTATACTCACATAATGACATCACTTAAGGTATGGTCAACGCAATGCTACAAACATTTTGAAGGATTTTTTAATTGGTCAGTTTACAAAATTCTTTCTTCTAATTGATCCAAGCGTTGTAGCAAGACTTTGACCACAGCCTTAATTCGATTACTTTAAAGTTATCACATAACAACATAGGTTTATCATTTCATTTTTAATGTGACTTAATAAGACTCAGTAAAGCATACGTTTCATACGCATACGTCTCACGAGGTTGTATAGATTGTAGATAAAACTTCATCAGTTGAATCTTCTCACTTGTCAGAATGAAAAAGAATGTGCATTCAACTGAGTTATGATTTCACAAATGAAAATTATTTGAATTTTGGAGTAAATGGAGAAAGCAATTATTATTTATGGAAATGGGTCTTAAAAATGTTTTGTTCTAGATTGGAGAGCAAATTCAATGATAATTTGCAATCAAATGAGGAAAAGAGCAAGCAGGATCTATTATATGACAATGAACCAACACAAAAAGGGGATACCTCATTAGGTCTTCTTGATAATATGTCAGGTAACGAAATATTTTGAGAAATTTATGAACATTGAGTCATTAGAAGAATATGTAAGAGTCAAATGCAAGTGCAGGCATAAAATGAATAAAGAATATAATCTTAGAACACATATATGGTAACATTTCTAGTATTCTTGAAATAGATTTCCAAAATTTTCCAATTACATGTTTTGTCTGCATTTTCAAGTCCTCTTCAGATACAGGATAATAAGCGAGAATCCAAACATCTTAGAAATTCTTTTTACACAGTCATCCAACTGCTTGTAAGAAGTTTTTTAATTGTTCTAAAAATAATTCGACATGAAGGTTGTTAAAATATTCTTGAATTTTCATTTATTGTAATCTGAAGAGGACTTGAAAATACAGCTGAAACATCTGATTTTGTGAGTGTAGAAATCTTGCGAATAGCGGAAATCTCAATGTATATAATGATATTCTACAATAAGATTAAATTCTTTATTTGTTTTGCGGTCCTACACTTGCTTCTGACTTTTATATGCCCATTTTAATACGTAATAATTTATTATGATTTGATAAGAATTCTATTTATTTGTTCATGAGCAATTGTTGCATTAGCAGAACTGTACTAATATATGACATTAATGACAGATCTTACGAACATAAGCACAGCAGAAGACGAGCAGAAATTGAACTTTTCCAATATAGATGCAGAACTTGAAATAGCCAGAAAACTTTTACAGAAATGTAGTGATAAAAATTCTATTCTAACCACAGGTAAATAAAAATAAAAAAGGATATAAGAATATCTATACACATAAATTAATTCTAATTTTAATATTAATTCGAACAATTATTTTAGATACAAATAAAGAAAATAATGCTAATATGCAAAATATAACGAGCAATATGCCAGTTTCAAATTTTATTTTACCAATTGAAGCTTGTATGTCCGAGTTGGACAAGGAGTGCAACATGAGTCACTCGGTGAGTAAAGCTAGTATACAATTAGTGTAGATTTCTATGTGTGATGTAAATACGACCTATAAATATTTTTAAAGTCAGAATATTTTAGAAAAAGTAAATAATTTCAGGTTACTTTTGAACCCAATGAAATAACAGCACGTTCATCTGGGGTCAGTAGTAGTGCTAAAAGGCAATCTCTTATAAACCTATCTTTCCATGGCATTAGTTTCAATAAAAACGACATAATGGCACTTAATAACGAAATGATGTCAGAAGAATTTTTAACTAACTCAAAAGGGGCTGAACAATTATCAATGGATCAAACTTGCTTTGCTCCGCATAATCTCACATATTGTATGCCAGGCATGAAAACAGAAAAGCAAAAAATAGACTTTAGCACTCTTTCTGGTATCATTGGAGAGCTAGACTTATCAATCGAGTATGTCTATTTCTGTATATATAAAGATACGTTATATGAAATACATGTTAATATAAATTATAGATCTTGTGCTGGACGGAAAGTATCTGTCGGCAGATATTTTGAACGTAAATCTGATGATATAGAAATGCTTGGAAATGGAAAAGCAAAACCAAATCTTAAAGTTTTGGAAACTCCTATAAAAACGGGCAAATTACCAGTATTAGTTGAATCGACTGTCTCAACAGAAGGTAATTACACAATTGTTAATAAAATAAAATAAAATTTTCTCATGTACACTAAAACTTATAGCAACAACATCGTCAATGGAATTGACAGAGAAAGAGCATGCATTTATTCCCAATGTAACAAGGGACATAGATGAAAATAGTATTATAAGTTTAAGCACTATTGTTAATACTTTAGAAGACGTTAATAGCGAGACACCACGGCGATTAGTTGATCAGCTTTTAATGGCACAGAAGAAAAAAAACCATTCTCTAATGTATAATAACACAAGAAAAGAAAACTCCGATGAAAAGTCTATTTTAGCAATGTCTATTGGAAATTCGAATAAGTTTGATGATAATGTAGAGAATCGTTCAACTAAATTATCAATAGATAGTAAAACCAAAAATGAAACTATAAATGAAATTGTTAATATAAAGCAGGAACGTAGAAGTATATCATTTCCTTCAAATGAAAATGTGATGAAGGTTGAATCCTTCACGAATGTATCTAAAAAGAAAATGTTAGCGGATTCATGTAATGAAAACGTGGTATCTTCAATTAATCAAGACATAGGTACGTAAATTGAGATGAGATATTTACATTTGATTCTTTTATAGATTTTATTGCACGATATAACGTTTCAATCTGTATTCATGATATATCTGAGATTAGAGTATCATAATCAACTCTTTTTTATAATTTAAAAGATCAAATTAAAATTTTAATATAAATTTCTTGACATATGACTTTAACAACTAGGTGTATCGTCAACATCAGATCTTACATTTTCTTTACAAAATTCCACACTACCGTGCAATGATAAATTGACTGTATTGTCCTATGTACCATTTAAAATGAACAGAAAAAGTTTTGATGAAGAGAGCTACAAAAATTTGAATATTCAAAATAAAGAACAAAATATTCCTAATAATATGATAGGCTCATTGCTCTTAATGAACAATATGGACATGCAAACTGATTCAAGTAGTATAGTTCATTTAATTATTAACTTAAAATATGTAATAGATATGATAGATATAACAATATTTTTTTTTTTTCTAGAGAATATCGTTCTTGGTAAAAATACAGAAGAAGCGTGCAATTGTGTTGTTGGTTTGACGAATGAAGTAAATGTTGAACTCATAAATAATGGAGATAGATGGATCACGTATATCTTTAAGTTAATTGAAGTAGTAGGAGATACACAAAGTATTGAATTGAATATTCCTTCGAAGGAAATTTTAATAAATTCTAATAGTACTCAATCCACAAAGGTATAATTTAGTATCAGCTGAAAATGAATTTTACTTGTAACGATAATAACTCAATTATTTCTTTCAGATTGAAATAAAAGTACTAAAAATGTGTAAACCAATATTTGTAATACTAAATATATTTTTATCAGATATGGTAGCAAAATCGAAATGGTCTATGAAACACATAATCTTTGTTAATCCGGAGCAACTTGAGCTTGATATTGTATGTCCTTCTGACAAACAAAATTTAGATTTTCAATATATTGGAGAAGAAACAATCAAAATTCTGCCTATAACATTTTATAATAAAAATAACGTTGCTGTACCTGTGAAACTGTTAATAGAAGTGAGAGATACAAATCTATTAAAATGTAATTAGATCAATGTACTGAAAACTGATTATATATTTTCAACTCGTAGGAGGGCTCAAAAATGTTTAGCATTGATGGACCAACGCATTTTCTACTTGAACCACTTAAGAATTTTACCACTAATATAAAATGTGAAAAATCACGATCTACATCAGTAGGTAAGTTTTTTCTTACATTGGCTGTATACTTTGTATACAGGCATTGGTCTATTGGAGATGTAAGAAAGTTTTGTTAAATAGATTCTCCGCAGAGACAGTCACAACATTGGAAAGGCAAACTAATTGTATATGTACAATCCAAAGATGACATTATATTACTTAAAAAAGAGATACCTCTTTACGCACAAATAGGTTTTTGTAAAATCCAAATCGTCGACACAGAAGTACCGATAATTATTCCAAGACAGCAAGGAAAATCAATAAACATCATTAACTCGGGAAATATCGCAATTCACGTATTCGCTTCTATCGTATCATTTGAAGGACATTCAAACGCGATGCAAGATTTTTTTATAAAGCCAGATGATATATTTTTGCAAGTTGGAGAAAGGAGTTCATTCTTAATTGTATATAAATCACAATTTTCAGATGCAAATTCTGTAAATAATGAAAGGTAATAATTAATTATAAATTTATTTGTCTATCATACTATTTAATTACTTATTGTTAATTCTTCAGATATGCGAAAATTAAGTTAGTTGCCGGGAACAATGTTTACCATTATATTATAAGTACCGAACAAAAATTATTAGAATCAGAAAAAGAGAATTATTTACGTTGCCATACGCCTAATAATGTTGTATCTCTAAGTCCAGCAACATCACCACAAAGTGTAACTTCTAATAGGTAGGTTTTTATGAGTACACACACACACACACACACACACACACGCGCGCGCGCGCGTTTTTATTATTATTATCATCTTTTTATGTATAGATCTGGACCTTGCGATAGAAATTCACCAATTAGTACAGTATCTAGTTTAGCTGTAGCAGGACATGTAATTCCAATCAGAGCTACACACGCTGCTCTAGTATGGAATAGTGTAAAAACGGGAAAAAGTGAAACTAAAGAATTTACAATTCGTAACACGAGCAATAACAAAATTAAAATTCAAATAGAGATATGTGATGACAGTAAGAGTTTTAAGGTATTGCGTATACATATATATTTTGTTATGTCATTTGAAGAAAAAGTTACAATTTATATCAATATCTGTTATAGTTTCTTGGAGATAAACAGACTATCAACACAAGCCTAGTACTAGTAATGCAACGTCAAGAAATTAAGACACTTGCAGTTGTGTTCAGTCCTTATAGCGTAGGTTCAGTAGTTGGAAAAATTACTATCAAACATTATACAAGAGAGAGTAATGATTCTCAGCAGTTTAAAAGAGTGCGTATATTTAATGATACAAAACTTTTAACTTACTTTTCAATAAGAAAAAAAGAGGAAATATTTATAATTTAAATTGACAGATACCTTTGTATGGATACGGAGGTTGCAGTAAAGTAAAAATTTCGGGACCATTTAAAGATTCGAGTAAAAAATTGTGGTTGTCACTTGGCAATTTATATTCTGAAACTATGACTTTGAACGCTAGTATTAGACTGGATAACATTGGCGATTTACGTTCATTCGCTAAAGTCACAATCATACCTAAAGGTTTGGCTAAATTCTAACTAATTCTCTCCTATTTATATTTTATATTAATATGAGTTACGTAGGGATAAACGTATTTGTATATTTTAGTTATTTCTCCAATAATGGATTCTAGTTGGCATATAAATCCAAAAGAAATAATACTTAATTCTAAAGAATCTCAAGAAATAACAATACAATTTCATCCAAAGAAAGAGGACTTTGCGTCACTGCAACGTTCGGAAGTTTCGCATGTGGCAACGATAAATGTTATTTATGGCGATGAACCAACCCGTTGGCGAATACGCAGGTAAAACGTACGCTATGTATTCAGACAAATAGACGTTAGATTATTGACATTAATTTTCAAACTGGTAAACATTTTTTTTTATCAGATTGTATAATAAATTGAAACAGTCAGGTGAATCGATTGGAAATGAAAATGAAGCATTCAAGAATATTGTGCATCCTATATGTAAAATTTTTCCTGGAGAACAACTAATTCCTGGCATAACATTAATTCGCGATTCTATTGTAAGTATATACAATTATATTATTTAGCCTCATTACTGTGTATGTAATAATGACAGCGTGTATTTAAATAGCTAAACTTAAATGATCTATGTACTGGCGTTCATCAATATGAGATAATGCTCACAGTGGAAGCATGCGCAGATGATACTTTGCCTGTTCATTATGATACTGATGAATCGGAGATGTATCAGTCTCTTATAAGCGATACTACTCATTTAGATGAAGCGGGTGGAGCAAGTTTCTTCGCTTCTCAGTAAGAGATCTTTTTATTAGTATTTTTCTTCTAGTATGCATATTTCTTATTATGCTTATCAATTTTTTATCTATGTCAACTTAAAGATTTCTTAAAAAGATTTCTAAAATATCTTGTTAATGTTTTATTACACAGAACTATAGAATATGAAGTTCAACATCCTGAATTGCAAGGAGATCAATTCACTGTAACTCCGTCCACCATCACTCTGACTCCTCCAGTAAAAAATGAAGCAACCGTGACTATTCTTAGCTTTTTCAAAACAGCCGAGCCATTTCAGACCAGTCTATCAAATTCAGATTACTTCAGTGTTGTTCCTGCAGAAGGAATGTTACCTAGCAAAAAGAGCTTTCCTTTAAAGATACAGTGTTCACAGAAACTAGATCGTAATATGCAAGCTATACTTGCGATTTATACAGAAAACAATAAACAGGACGTGTTGATTAAAGTCGCAGTGAGGCGATAATAATTAATCGGTTATACGAGAAAAATAATAATATTTATTTATATAATTATTGTAACTTAAGAGTTTTATAAAAAAAAAAAAACGATATTTTATTAATAATTTTTAACAAACTATCACGTGTTTTTCTTCAATACATTCCTAGTTATTTCAGTTTTACTTAAACTTATCGCAGAAGTTGTTAATGATGAAGTAATTTTAAATTGCGTGTTGTATTTCTCTTTTAAAGTTAGTATTACCGATACCATATTTTTTACATCATCAATCCCTGAATGTAAATGTCCTTTTAATGGAACATTCAATCGCACAAGCATGTCCTTTAAGCTCTTAGGATAATATCCGGTAGATTCACAAAATATGTGCTTCAACTCTACCCATTGCTTGAACTGATCCGGTAACGTAATACCATCTAAATCGCACTGACTCGGCAGCATAGTTTTTAAATCCCAATTACCGCATGTGACGAACGAGCTTTTCTCAGGTTTGTCAAAATATCCTCCTTTAATCAACCACTCGCAGAAATTTGAAAACACATCCGCGAAGTAAGGTTGATCATCCACTGTCTCTTGCATGATCCCAGTTAATTCTGTACAGAACGGCGTGAGGGTAGGATGGACTCTGGGTTTCACATATGTATGAAACATGTCCTTCAGTTTCCAGTCGCAGGTAGACAGCACTGCGCATGGTAGCTCAATAATCTCCTGCGGCTTGAGCACGATATCCCTCTCGCATGTGGCTTCAAAGTCCATCACAAGAAGGTATTCAAACTTTTGTACTACCTCGCGGGAACGATTGATCATCGTTCTGGGATATCTTTGGAGAATTCGATGGGCCATACTTATCCCTTGTATGAATGGATCATGTTCCTGTGTAGTTCCCAAACAAAATAAATATTTTTAGATTAAGTCGCTTGGTAAGTCCTAATTTGTCCTTTATTTACTCAGTTTTTCAGTAACTTCGTTACTTGTTTATTCAATCAATTGTGAATGAATTTATCACGAGATTAAATTTTATGCAAAATATGCTGTATTTATTATTACATCAAAGTTGTTGGCGTACATCACTATCAAAAAAAACTGAGAAACTTGTTAAGCACTATCAAGTAATCTTAATCCTTAACTGTGGACATATGTTTTTATTGTACACTGTTATAGGACAAGAATTCCTATTTTTGACATAAAAAGGGAAATAGCTTAAGACTTAATTACTCTCTAAATTCTTTGGAGGAGATCTCACTCTAAAGAGTGAAAATTGAGTCAATTCGAAAAAAAGAGACTCAATTTTTTCAATCTTCAAGATCCAATTCCTCCAATATAAGATTAACTTCAATCTTAACTTACTGTTTTTTTCTTTTTTTAATTTTTAGAATTAGAAAAAGATAATGAACACCAAAATTAAAATTAATCTTACATTGATAGAATCAGGCCTAAGAGTGAGATTTCACTCTTCAAGATAAGATTCACTCTAAAAATTTTAGAGAGTAATATATATGCTTTTATTTGCACACCAGTAGAGAGAACTTTCATTTTTAGATATAAAAAAAAAAGAAAATGAAAATAATTGCTCTTCACAATATAGACGATCTTGCTGTTAAAGTTTAATTTAAAAACAGGTGTTGATCGAGTTTGTACAGAAGAATACTGGCACAAGAGTCCCAGAGACTCCCACAAATAATCCGCATCCACAGTTGAGAATCAGAACTTTCATAGTTTAAAAACATATATTTTCCAACGTTACCTAACAATCAATTTTTTTGTGAATTAATGCAATTCTGTTAAGAGAAGATCAAATTTGAACACGAATGCGATAAATAGACGCGTGTTGGAACGATTTCACGCGGAACACACAACAAAGTGTGACTACGTCGCCATATTCTGCGCGATCGGAGCAACCGGCGAAACGCGCGGCAAGAGTATAACCTTCAAATTATTCAAACAGTTCGAGCGTGATATAACCTTAGAAGCTGAAGTCGCATTACTCCACTAACCGGATATTATTTTCCAAGAAAAGTCAAACGAGATATTGAGAGCCGACGATTTTATGACACGATGACATCCAGCAATGAACAACAAGTAAATTTACCATGGTGAGTACGAAATTTGAGACATCGACAACAAGGAACACCGACTGAGAATTTTCTTGTATTTCAGGGTCGAAAAATATCGTCCTAAAAGCTTGGATGAACTTATTTCCCATGAGACGATAATAAAGACGAGTAAGTAAATAACACAAGTAAACAGGACGCGTAAATGTGTGTAAAGCATTTTTATTATAAGATGAGAAAGGAATTGCTTGTTACAGTAAACAAGTACATTGATGAGAATCAACTGCCGCATCTTCTTCTCTATGGACCACCTGGGACAGGAAAGACTAGTACTATACTGGCGTGTGCTCGTAAACTCTATACTTCAGCTCAGTTCAATTCAATGGTTGTGTATCTGTCACTGAATAATTCTATGTCTCTTTATTTCATTCATGTTCCTTACTTTATCTACAAATATTTAGGTATTAGAATTAAATGCTTCCGATGATAGAGGTATAGGCATTGTGCGAGGCCAAATCCTGAGTTTTGCTAGTACAGGCACTATGTATAAGTCTGCGTTTAAATTAATTATCTTGGATGAAGCTGATGCTATGACGATCGATGCTCAGAATGCACTTAGAAGAAGTAAGTGCATTATCTAAATATTTATAGATATTAATTACAGAACATTAATAAAAATAAATGTTAATCTGATATTAATTTTAGTTATTGAAAAATACACGGATAATGTGCGTTTCTGTATTATATGCAACTACCTCAGCAAGATTATTCCAGCTCTGCAGTCTCGTTGCACCAGGTTTAGATTCTTACCTCTTGCAGCGGAACAAATAATACCAAGACTGAATCACGTCATTGAAGCAGAGAAGTGAATGAAGATTTATTTTATATCTAATTACTTGATTCTTTTTTATCCTGAGATCTTTCGTTAATGAAAAACTTTTGTTAGTTTAAAAGTTACGGAAGACGGCAAGCAAGCATTGATAACGTTAAGTGGTGGTGATATGAGAAAAGTAATAAGCGTACTTCAAAGTACATGGTTTGCTTATGGTGCTGTGAACGAAGAGAATGTGTATAATTGTGTTGGACATCCGTTACCAAGAGATATAACTAGTATTGTAAACTGGTTGTTAAACGAGTCTTATGACACATGCTACAAAAGTATCCTTTTACAATAACAGATTTTGATCGGTATTTACACTTTAAAATTGTCTTAAATAATGTTAAAATGCTAATATTGTTGTGATTGGTTTATAATATTTTAGGATTACATTTAAGACAGTTTTAAATATAAGAACCAGTTATGAATGAATACTAGCTTTTATATCAAATTTTATATAATTCTTAATATATGTTATGTAGAGATTCAAGAACTGAAATTGAACAAGGGTCTTGCGCTGCAAGATATATTAACAGAAGTTCACTCATATGTAATTAAAAGTATGTATTGTGTTCAATGTATATATGTATCTGAAATGCTTATAGTTACTAATAAGTATTTTTTTAGTTGATTTTCCTGATCAGTTATTTACTGATTTATTATGCAAAATGGCAGAGATAGAAAAAAGATTGGCTTCTGGATGTCGCGACAACATTCAATTAAATTCTCTTATATCTGCATTCTACAGTGTTCGCGATATTGAAACGTAATATCTTCTATCACGTGGATTGAAAAATTTTGTAAATCTAAAAATACTGAATATACTTTCTTAAGATAAAAACTATTGTTTGGTATGTATATATTACATTGGCAACATCAATATATGAACAATGAGGATATTTAATCTAATAATTTAGATTACTATTTAAAAAAAATAAAGTGAATTTTTAAAGCAAAAAAATCTCTCGTGAAAGAATAACAGTTCTTATTTTTCTAGAAATATTTGATAAATACATCAGATCATATATGTCATAAAAACGTAATAAAATTATCAATACAATGGAGCTGATTACATATTTACGATCTATAACTTCATTCCTCATAAGACTGTTTTTTTCAGGAAATAATAGAACTATAAAAACAATGTATATCTTAGATATAAGTTACAATACGAGATTGCTATCGGTCGCTTGGTTTCTCCGCTTAATTGCATTCTGGCGTGCGCCTTATCGACAACATACACAAAAATTAAAAATATTCCGTCAAAGTAGCGAATCAGTCGAGTCACCATCGATTCCTTGGCGTCATAAATTACAGCCCTCGTTCCATTCGCCATCACCCTTCTTCCCACCGTTACCTTTCGAGATCGTGATGATCTCCTTACGTGCGCTGAAAAGTGCAAACTTCATTCAAGAGATGATAACTTTCACGAGCAGACAGCAAACATGGATCAGAGGGTCGGGGGAGAACTCGGCGGCGCCGGGCTACAAGTCTGCAATCAGTGTATTCCGTACTCTTACAAGCAGGAGCGGATCGACAGTAGCCCTGCAAATGCCGTCCAATCAGCACGCGATCGTTCGAGCATCACGTCGACGGGAACCATATCGAAACTTTGGGCATGCGAGCCTCGTATAAAGATTCTGTCGTAGAAAGGCTGACCTCACGTATAAATGTTACTCTTCATATTGCGTGGAAAACCACGCGACGCAACGTAACTGAAATATCCATAGAATAGTTAAATTTAACATCTGAAAGTTTTCGTGGAAACGTAGAAATCATTCACAGAAGAAATCCTACTGCGAATAATAGATTTATTGACAATTTTGTTAAATGAAATCTATTTCGTTAATCATTCGAAGATGGATTTATTGAATCTATTTAAATATTCTTTATGTTACATCTGCAAAAGACTGCACTAAAAATTAGATGAAATGAGTCAGTTTTAAACGATTTTCATATATAATATAGTTTAATGTGAACAAAAGATGTTATAGACACAAGCTTAATAATTTTTTAGCTATAGTACAAATTTGTACTCAAAGAGTACCTTTGATACATCATAACTAAAAAATTATCTATTATTGAGTCCTGTGTCT